GGAATTTGTTTTGCTTGATTACCCATGCCTGTAACAGGTTTTTGTTTTTCGGGGGTTTTTTTGCTTTCTCAATAGGGGAGGGGAAGTCGGAAGGGAGACAATTCAGATCTGAAATAAATGAAATAAAATAAAATGGATTTTTTAAAAAGAAATTTAAGCTCATTGTGAGCAGTGACTACCTTATTTTTTTATATTTGTGTCCACAGTGCCATGCACATACTAACTGTTTAACAATTGTTTCACACACTTATTCACGTACTCATTCATGCCTTTGCTCTTATGTTTTGCCTGCGTGGACTTCAGACACCCTTCATCTCTAATCATTCCAAATACCAGATTTCCCTCAAGGTTTCTGGTCATCCAGTCTCTGCTTAAAGAACTCGATTCTCACTTCCTCCATAAAATCTTATCCAACTACTAGTCATAGATTACTTCTCCCTCTTCTAAAATTCCATGACACTTGTTTCTTGTACCAGTAAAAACAAATATATGATAACATGCTATACTTTCCATAGGCTACTTATTTATGTATTTACATATTGTATTGTCCCCAACAGAATGTAAGCTGAAGAGTAGACTTTTTTTTTTCTTTATAGCCCCAGAGCCTAGAACACATAGGTGTTTAATAAATACTTGCTGAATTGAATTCATGTCAGTCTGGTCTTCCTCACTAGATTATAAGCTTTCCTCTCATAATTTTAATCAATCAACAAGTATTTATTAAGTGCCTATTATGTGCTCAGCTTCTCACCTGCCCATTTATTCCACGTTAAATTCTCCTGGCTGAATTTTATTGGCTTTCCTTGAAAGAGAAGCTTCCTCTGGCTTGAATTGGCCTTGTGTGCCCACTAGTTATTGCTGCCAACTAATTATTGCTACTAAGAAATAGAACAGGGCACTGTACATACTTACTCTGTAGAGTTCTATGTACTATATAAAGGGTAGCTATTGTATTATTATTAATTTCAATATTTCAAAAATATGTGTTAGGAATCACTTGACCAATACAGACCACAACCTTTCTTAATCTTAGTAAATGGTCTCCAGTGCCATCTCCTCATCAGACCATATGTTACCCAGACTAGAAATCAAGCCCCAGAGGATTTCATCCCTTCATTTGCAGAATTCTCACTCTAGGGCCCAATATCCTGATTGGTAGTTGCTTCAATCCCCACTACATCTAGGCCCAGCTTCAGCCACATTTCACTTCACACACTGGTCATCCCCTCACTAGCCATCAGGTCACCTCATGCGTGCCTTTCTCATATTCCCATCAATTTTCTACCACCACTACCCCCTTTTCCAGTTCTGGAACAATAACAGAATCAACTGGCACTGATCCTTGTGTATGTCAATATATTTTGCTATGTCTCTATTTGCCATTCTTTTAACTTTCCAAACTAACACATCCTTCCATCACCACTGTACCCCCATAAGTGTTGTCTCCTATTAGAAAATAAACTCTCTGGGGAAGAAGTATGTTTACTTTTATATCTGTATCCCAAGCACTTAGTATAGCATCAGGCACTTAATATGTAAATTTAGTTACTGTTTTTTCCATTCATTTATTTATTCTTTGTGTCTATGGCCAAAAAAAAAATTATCAGTTGGTAACCAATCTTCTAGCAATGAAGTTCTCTAAACTTAAGCTGCTCTTCAGATGACAAACCCAGTCCCTCACTACTAGGCTTTACTAAGTTGAGAAACCATGGCAAGGCCTGAACTTACACAATAAAATAGGACGCTGGGATAGGATTTGAATAGAGGCCCTTGCATCTAACACTTGCCTAAAATACATTTAAATGAATTACTAATTCCTCTCCTGTGTCACAGAATTTGAATATTTATGCAGATGCTTCTAAAGAGATCTGGCTTAATCATTTAGAGCAAATAACCAGTTTAGCACAAGTAAGTCTGACACATGTAGCTTACATTACTCATGGAAGACCCATGGGTGCAGCACACTGCTCTCTACTAATTGTTTGGCAGAGTTTGCCACACTTAGTATATTCAGAATTCAGTTTATATTTAACAGATTTATTTTAACAAGTGACAGCTTTGGTTCCTCAAGAAACCTAATCCTAACGAAGGACAGAGAATAAATACAAATAAAACAACTAAAGAACAATGGCAATCAAGCAACACGTGGGGATATAACCAAGGCACTGTTGTTCAGTCACTTTCAGTCGTGTCTGACTCCTCATGACCACATCTGGGGTTTTCTTGGCAAAGACACTAGAGTGGTTTTCCATTTACTCTCCATCTCCTTTGATAGAGGGGGAAACTGAGGCAAATACGGTTAAGTGACTTGCCCAGGGTCACACAGCTAGTAAGTGTCTGAGGCCAGATTTGAACTGAAGATAATGAGTCTTCCTGTCTCCAGGACTGGCACTGTATCTACTGTGCCACCTGGTGGCCCCATTTAACCAAATACACATTCATCACCAATTATCTCTCCGTTAAATTATAAAGGGGGTTATTGCCACATATACTTAATAATAAAGTTTCCTAGAGAAAATGAATGATGAAGAGAAACTATTTCAAATAGCTCCTCTGTAAGTCATATATATGGTAAATTCTTTATTATTTGACATGACTGAAGAATTCTGGTTATTTACAACTGTCACAGAATTAAAGTACAATAAAATATACTTGACATTAAAAATGCATTGAACATAATTTAATCTTTCTTTGATAAAAATCTACCATAAACATTTCCCATTTGAAAATAACATCTATCAGTACTGGAATGCATGGTCATAAAAGCCTAGAAAATATAAATGGACAGTGTCATAATCTGTTATATAAATGGCTAAATTTATATAACCCTTGGACTTGTCAGAACAGAAATTCTATATACAAAGCAGCTGGGGGCACAACTCACAGAACTTGGAGTCAAGATGACCCAAGTTTAAATCCAGCCTCAGTCATTTAATAGCTGTGGGACCCTGGGAAAGTAATTTGTTTGCCTTGCTTTCCCCATCTGTGAAATGGGAATAATACTTAGCTCTCAGAGTTGTTGTGAGAATCAAATGAGATATTTGTAAAGTGATTTGCAAACCTTAAAGCACTATGTAAATGCTAGCTGTAATTCTTATTATCCATCTTTTCAGTAGCTAGCCAATTAATGAACACATAGTAGGCAATCAATAGATACTTGCTAACTGATTTTCCTCATTTTCACTGAAGTAAAAGCTATCTTTCTAGTCTGGAAAGGATACAGGGGTGGATCACACAAGTTTCATTATAAAATTTGGATGATTTCTTTTTATAGAAAAGTTATGTCTGTCTTTGGGCTGTTAGGACATCATCATGAGATAATAACTTAGCACTTAGGGTTGGAAGGAACCTCACAGTACCTCTAATCAATTCGTTTTATAGATAAGAAAACTGAAGCTTGGAGAGATGAGCAATTTGCCAAAAGTCACACATATACTAATCAGCAGAGCCAAGATTCCAATCCAAATCTTCAAATCCAATGGCAGTACGTTCTCTCCCCTCTACTGCCACAAACCGTTTGTCGTACTTTTACAACTAGATACACACGGATTGAATAAGGTTCTGCTTAACAGTGTGCTAGTCAGAAGAAAATAAAATAACAATCAGCTATATTAGTACAACTACCTTGTGGGCATTAAAATGTGCTTTGTAATATTTAGATCGAGGACAGCATAACATATTAAGAAATTTTTTATATCCAGTTTTCTTTTAAAGGAACACACTGAATTTGCTTTGGTAAAACAAATTTTAGAAAATCCAGACTGGCATATTCCTTCTCGTGCTTCCATCAAACTTATTAGCCAATGAAAGTTAATTACTAGTTAATATGGTGGGGGTGTTTCCACTTCTTTTGTGCATTCTTCAATGCACAAAAAGTATAAGATAACTGACCATGTGCGCTAACTGGCTGGAAAGAGGTAATACTCAACACACTTCTGAGATTTAGACATTGTTAAGCAGTTCTCTCTCCACCTCACCCCCCAAAACAACTAAGAAATAGGATGCACTACAGGAAATATCACACAATACCAAATAATCATATCGGATTATCTAATCGATGTAAGGGGTAAGCTATCATTAATGCAAGAATAAGAAGACTCCAGATGACCAAAAAGGATGCTACATATAAATGCTGCTTTAAAAAAAAATACAAAACTACAGATCTTATATGAGGAACTGCCAAACAATTTCAATTAGTGAAATCTGAAAGTTTTTAAAAGAGACTGTTCTGCATTACTGTGTAATGACTAACTTTAATACACTCAGCTTTTCTCAGCAATGCAAGGATCTAAGACAACTCCAAAAGACTCATGATGGAAAATGCTATCCACATCCAGAGAAATAACTCTGGAGTCTGAATGCAGATGGAAGCATGCTATTTGCTCTCTTTCTTATGTTATTTTGTTTTGTTTCTTCTTTCTTGTGATTCTTCCCATTGGTTCTAATTCTTCTTGACAACATGACTAATGTGAAAATGTTTATTATGAATGTATATGTAAAATATGTTTAATATGAATGAATAATATGAAAGCCTACATCAAATTCATGCTGTCTTGGGGCAGGAGTAAGGAGAGAAAATTTAAAACTCAAGATCTTATGGAAGTGAATGTTGAAAACTAAAAATAAATAAATTTTTTAAAAAGACTTTTTTTGGGAAAAAAAGATTGTTCTGGTAAGGGGGAGACATGCACAAAGTTTACACATTCACTTTGGATCAAATTATTCTAGACTTTTTATAATCTTTTTGCTTGGATTCTAATATAACAGTTTTGTTTTCAGCCTTTATCCAGTTTTCTTTCCACTAAGGATTGGATTATATAATTTCAGTACAACCTTTCATTGGATTAGGTCCCCAAAACTCACTTACCTTTAGAAGAGATAATGATTTTAGCTAGTGCAGATTAACAGTGAAGACAAACTATGATAAGTTTTTTTTAGAACACACCAAAAAATAAAGTAAAAAATATCTGAGAGCAAAGCACTTAATGGCTGAAACTCACATCTGAGCCCACGCCTCTCGTGGTAGTCTGCAGGATAGGTTTAGCCACGGACAGTTTGCCCGTCACTGGATTGTTCCCTACAGGGGTTGGTAACACATTCACCACTTGATTAGGTAGCTGAGTGGTTCCCCTAGTGACAGCAATAACTGGCTGAGCAGAAGGCAGAATTCCAGGTGCCTGTAGTTGGACCACGGTCGGCTGAGAGAGCACAACAGGCTGACCTACATTGGGAAAAAAAAAATCAGAGGTTATATATCCATCATGGAAGAAGTAGTATTTCATTTGGTCCACGTATACTAATTTACAAGAACAACAACAGATTACTGGTGTTTGTTTGACAGGCTGGAAGTCTGAATAAAATCGGCTCCAATTTTCCCTTTTAAACTTAGTTATCATTAAAAAAGTGACTATAGCAATACAATGCTTCTAAATTTCTGTTCCTCCTCAGACCACAAATGTTATTTTTGTATTTCTTTTAGGTACATGACAAAAACTACAGGTTTTTATCTTTGAACTACAAGTATTTATCTATGCATCCTAGATTAGCTCCATGAAGGCAGGGGCCATGGCTTATCCACCTTTGTATCTTCTCAAGAGCTTTGTACCAAGTTCTACAAATTCTAAATCTTTTATAAATGGTTGCTCAATTAATTTGAATGTCTTTCACCTACACAAAGAGATCAAATTTGTTCATTTAAACCTAGTACAATTTCTCTAAAAGACTGCAATTGCTCCTTTAAACTTGTTACATATTCAAAAGTGCCCTGGATATATTGTTATCATAAATATCCAATTTCTTCTGCTGAATGCAGAGAACCAATAATTTTAAATCAATGACACCTGCATATATAGAGGTTACCTGACCAGGGAACTACCGTAACTATTAAAAAGCAGGGAAATTTCAAATAATAAAAACTCCATGAAATGGATTCTCAGGTGAGGCAGAAGAAACAAACAAACAAACAAACAAACAAAAAACCACGTGTGCAAATAGGACCCAATAGTAATAAAAGTTGATGGGTCCACCCAACCATTCCCTAGTCTTCATATTTATTAACACTATAAAATGATACTACATCTGAAGGCAGTGTGTACCATAAGTCTAAAGAAGATTAATATAAAACACAGCAGTGGAATTACCAAATTGTATTAAAAATTTTACTTGCCTGCTGGGTAATTTCTTTTAGATTTGGTCCACTTTATAGGAAATTGGATTCCAGGGCTAATTTCCACAGCTGATTTAAAATCCATCTGGTGAAATAAGGCTGTTACAGTAATAGCTAACTTAAAAAATTATTTCTAATTCTTTTTTCTTTAAACTACCAGTCGAGGATATTTGACAAGGCCCACATAAAGTTCAGCTTAGTATTTCATAAGAACTGAAGAATATTAAAGATTAAAACAATTCTCCAGAACACCTGCCATCTCTAAAAAAAAAATCATTCTCACAAAACCTGAAAGAGGTTCCATCCAGAAACTGAAAAGGACATGATCCCAAGGTAGGTAATGTAGCAAAATCTCAAGAAGGTTTCAAATGGCTTATAAAGGCAGACTAATGACCTGGATACAATTTTTGCCTTTTTTCCTTAGAACTACCCAAGATAATTAGGAAGAAGGAATATCTAAAAACTCCCTCATGACATTTGTAATTCCTACAATTTAAAAGGGTAAACGATCTATAAACATATTTATCTTGTTATTTTTCCTCTCATGACTACATTACTTTAACAAATCAAAAATCTTCAAAATGGAAAAATGACTCATAAACAAATGCAGAAAGAATATTTAGTGGACTAAAGATACAAATAAAAAATAATTAAGACATAAAACAACAGGCAAAATAAATAACACATGACCAAGTGCTAGGTTTTCACTAACTTTAACAAATTACTGTGGCTGGGTACCATGTGAAGACATAATAGGTCATAATATTAAAAACCAAGCTGAATACCACCTCACACCTATAAGATTGGTTAATATGACAGAAAAGAAAAATGATAAATTTTGGAGAAGATGTGGGAAACTTGGAAGACTAATGCACTATTGTTGGAGTTGTCAACTGATCAACCATTTTGGAAAGCAATTTGGAATTATGCCCAAAGGCCTATAAAACTGTGTATACCTTTTGATCCAGCAATACCAATAGTAGGTCTGTATCCTAAAAGGTCATAAAAAAGGGAAAAGGACCCACATGTACAAAAATATTTATAGTAGCTCTTTTTGTGGTGGCAAAGAATTAGAAATTGAAGGGATGCCCATCAATTGTGGAATGGCTGAACAAGTTGTGGTATATGAATGTAATGGAATACAATTGTGCTGTAGTAGATGATGGGCAGGCAGATGTCAGAAAAGCCTGAACTTACATGAACTGATGCTGAATGAAGTGAGCAGAACCAAGAGAACATTATCAGCAACATCAACACTGTGTGTTGATCAACTCTGATAGTCTTAGCTCTTCTCAGTAATACAATGATCTCAGACAATTCCAAAAGACTGATGATAGAAAATGCTATCCATATCCAAAGAAAGAACTATGGAGTCTGAATGCAGATCAAAACATGCTATTTTCACTTTTTTCGTTTTTCTTTCTCTTGGCTTTTTTGTTCTGATTCTTCTTTCATATGACTAATGTGGAAATATGTTTAATATGATTGTACATATATAACCTATATCAGATTGCTTGCTATCTTGAGGATGGCGGAGGGAAGGGAAGGAGGGATAAAAAAAATTTGAAACTCAAAATCTTATAAAAGTGAATGTTTAAAACTATCTTTACATGTAATTGGAAAAAATAAAATACTATTAATACAATGCTATTAAGTAGAAAAAAAATAACCAAGCCAAAAATCTGAGAAGAGTATCATAAGTAGCAGTATTCCTCAGAATCTGAGGTTAAGCTATAGTTAAAAGGATTTTAGAGATTCAATAGCATTCAATAGGCATTTGATAGTATTCCAAAAGAATATTTGATATACAAAAAAGGGGAAAAAAAGAATATTTGATATGCCAAAAGAGGAATAGAATAGAAAAAAAATTCAAAGTAAGGAGAGCATTACTGGTTTCTGTTTCAGCAGTACCACATAAATGAAGTAGTATGTGAAACTAAGAAGCAAATGGCTTTGGAATAGATCTCAAGAGTCATCATGACAACAAATTCACATCAGTGCTATTTATATCCACTGCTATGCTGATAAAACATAGGGGAATGTTAAGGCATATCCTGGGAGCCAAATGTAACTCAATGTTATATGATGCAAACTGCTGCCTCCTTCATCTTTCATTTATACAAAGTCTCTTCATGCAACAGTGTTCAGCTATATCCCAATGAACTGGCAATTTGAAGCTGGGAACTTTCAGCATGTATGCTCCAGGCATCTCTTCGCATCCAAAAGAAAATGGGCTAAATGTTGCCTATTCTGTTTTCAAAGGAAGAAATCAAAGCCATCAATAGCAGTACAAAAAAATACTCTAAATCACTAATAGAGCAGTTAAATTAAAACAATTCTGAGAGTTTACTTCATATCCATCAGACTGGCAAAATGTGCAAAAATGGAAAATGACAAATGTAGGAGGGGCTGAGGAAAGACATGCATATTAATGCACTACAGAAGAAGTCGTGAATTGATCCAACTATTATAGAAAGCATTATCAAACTATACCCCATAAGTCACTAAACTGTGTATACCCTTTGATCTAGCAATACCAGTTATAAGCAATACTCCAAAGAGATCAAAGAAAGAAGAAAATGGTCCAATTTACAAAGATATTTATGGCAATTTTTTTTCATGATGGAAAAAAAGCTGAGAATAAAAGGGGTACCCATCAATTTGGGGAATGGCTAAAAAAATTATGGTATATGAATGTAATGAGATTTCATCTGCGCTGTAAGAAATAAATGAAGAGGATGGTTTCAGAGAAAGCTGGGAAGACTTGTATGAACTGATGCAGAGTGAAGTGAATACAGGTTAACAATTTATACAATTGCAACAATATCTTAAACAAAAACAACTCTGAAAGACTTAAGAACTCTAACCAATACAATGACCAACCACAATTCCAGAAAAGAAGTAATTAATCATGCTACCCAACTCCTGATAGAGAAGTGATGGTCTCAGTGTACAGTAGAAGACATGTTTTTAGATGTAAATAATGAGATGATTTGTTTTGCTTGAATTTGTTATGCCTATCTGCCATAATGGTTTGTTTTTCTTTTTCAATGGGAAGGGAGTAGGAAAGAGGAGTAGAAAATAAGTTTTTGTTAACTGGAAAAATAAAATTTAATTTTAAAAATACTAAAGAATCAAACTTTTAAAAAATGCTGCCTATTCCAATTTCTGCACCTCATAACAGTAAAACATAATGGGATATTTAAGTGACTTGCCAAGATACCTGGGACCACAAATTTGCAAATCACATGATCTTGTAGGCATCAGATAAAACTGGCTATTTGACTGATGCTATTCATAATGAAGAATCTTCAGAGCCACCAGGTAAAAATGGTAAATAAGAGTCTCTTTAATTTCCATATCTGTATCAAAATATCCTAACTAGTCTCCCAGCCAACTGCCCTCTTGAAAGACTACCGCTGAATCCCCTGATACATCATAATTTTGGCTACCAAGCCAGTAACATCTGCATGATGATGGAAAAGTCACAACCTCGTAGGAGCTCTCATTCCTCCTCTATAAGATGAGAGAGCTAGACTAGGTAATTTATCTCAAAGGTAACTTCCAGATCTAAAGCCTGTGATCAAGGTTTTGATGGTCTGTAAGTTTCATCTTTTAAATTTTGTTCAAACCAAAAATTAATTAACTAATATTCACCAAGCACATAAAGATGTTCTAAGCACTATGTTAGGCACAAAGGAGTATAAAAGGATATATAAGATACAGCCCCTAAGGAGCTAAAAATCTATCAGAATATGAAAACACATATACACATGAGCAGATAATTAACAAATCAATAAATGAAAAAATTCAAATGAGTTGAACCAGAAAGGCCAGTCCAGCAAAAAGTTCAGAGGAAGGGAAAACTTGAACTGGGAAGGTCAGGAAAAAGCTTTTTGAAGGATATGGGTCTAGGACTAACCTTTGCATATGTGTAAGATTTGGATAAAGATGGTATTTTAGGGAAAGAGAATGAGTCATAAAGACTAGGTAGGATTTCAAGAGGCAGTGATGGGGGAGAGAGCACTCCAGGAATAGGGAATGGCATAAGCAGA